TTTAAAAATAAAAATAAAATAATTCAAAACAAAATGAAAATATACTAATCAAACATCCCAGTCCTCAAAAAAACTGATCCATTAAAAATAACTGGCTTCAAAAATGCTATAAATGAGAAAAAAAATATGAGTATCTATAACTGTCCATGTACCATTAAGGTCACAAACAGAGAAAAGGGGTGGGGGAAGGAAAAAAGAAAAAAGTAAAAACAAACAAACAAACAAACAAAAACAAAAAAACGAGAGAGAGAGAAATATCAATAAGCCAAAGAACTGTTTCCATTGGAGTTCAAAAGATTCTCAGTTTCTCTTCTGAGCAGTTTTAGGTGGGGTCATCTGGAGTGTGATACTCCACCTTCTGGATTGCTGGAGTGAGAGAGGTAATCCTGTAGGTGGAATTCCTGGAGGTGGGGTTTAGCCTTAGGTGGGCTCCAAGGTCTTCACTGAATGCCAGTTGGTCTGCAGATTTTAAATTAGCACACCTCCAGGGCCCAGTTATTATTGGTCCATGCTGGAAGACTGGGTTCCATTTATGTGGTGGAGGAGCCAATTCTTAGTCCCCTATGTTACCTGTGCCTCCCCAACCCCACCCATGTTTCCTGGTCTTAGGTTTAGTCTCCAAACTCAATCTCTCTCACCCCAATCCTTCTGAATTAAATTCCCAGCAGATGTATCTCTCCCAGCCAGTCCTGCAGCCAGCAGGTTGGAGGGGGAGGTGTAGAGACCTGTGGGTTTCCATGACAAGCTGACCCTGTGTAAACCTCTCTCCATGTTTGATTTTCTCCTGGTCACTGAAGCACACTCCATGTCATGTAGTATGTGTTTACTGGGCCTGTGTTTTGGGGTAAACTCAGTTTTCCCAGGGATTGGCTTCCTCAGTTACCTGCCCTGTGGCTGCAAAATGGTTTCTTCTTTTGTCTTCTGCACTCCACCTGGAAAGATGGCGGCTTCTTTCTGGCACAAGGATATTGTGCAATGTGCCTTCCCAGTTTGTTGGGCAATGTCCTTGATCTCTAAATTGTCTGGACCCAGACATGCCTCAGGCCACCTAAAAATGTGGGTTCCTTTAATTTCTTTATCCTTCCATTTTGCTCCCAGAGGGACCACTTTGGCTGGTGTTTCTGGCCTGGCTTCGGCAGCAACTGCTGTGCTGGGGATTTCTCTCTTATTATATCTAACCTCCTGTGTCCTAATCTGCTTCGAATGTCCAGTTTTAAATTCCAGTAAAGTCCTCCCCCACTTTTTTTTTTCTTTTGTTCACCCATCTTCTGAGAAACTGCCTAGTCTGCTTTCTTGGTTTTAGCCCATGGAACAGTCGGGAAAGCCTGCAGTTTTTGTTACTACAGCTCTGTGGTATAATTTGAAATCAGGTATTGTGATATCTTCAGCATTGCTCTTTTAGCTTAGAATTGCTATTCTGTTTTGTTTTTGATTTTTAATTCTTCCAAATGCATTTTTAAGACTTTTTTTTTCCTAGTTCTGTGAAGAATGTCTTTGGTATTTTAATGGGAATTGCATTGAATCTTTATATTGCTTTTGATAGTATGGCCATTTTAACAATACTGCCTATCCATGAACATGGGAGGTCTTTCCATCTCCCTTGTATTCTTCAATTTCTTTCTTCAAAGTTCTATAGATTTCATTTTAGAGGTGTTTTACCTCCTTGGTTAGATTTATTTCTAGGTTTTTTTTTTCCCCCATAGGGGAGACTATTGTGAATGGGGTTGTTTTCCTGGTTTATTTCTCTGCAGATTCATTATTGGTGTGTAGGAAAGCTTTAATTTTTTATGTTGATTTTGTAGCCTGCTACTTTGTTGAATTTTTTTTTATTAGCTCTAGCAGTCACCTGGTGGAGTTTCTTGGGTCTTCAAAGTATAGGATCATATTATCTGCAAACAGTGATAATTTGACTTCTTCCCATCCTATTTTTAATGGCTTTTATTTCCTTCTCTTGCCTAATTGCTCTGCTAAAAATTTGAGTATTATATTAAATAGGAGTGATGAGAGTGAACATTTTCATCCTGTTTGTACCTGATTTTAAAGGAAAATCTTTCAGCTTTCCCCATTCACTATGATGCTGGCTTTGGGATTTGGGTATATAGCCTTTATGATGTTGAGGTAGGTTTATTCTATTCCTGTTTTCTCCCGTGTTTTTTTAAAAATCATGAATGAGTGATTAATTTTGTCAAGGGCTAATAACTCTGCATCTATTCAAATGACTTTGTGATTTTTGTCCTTAAGTCTATTTATGTGGTAAATTACATTTATTGATTTGCATATATTTAACTGTCCTTGCATCCCTAGGATAAAGCCTACTTGGTCATGATGTAAAATCTTCTTAATATGTTGTTGAATACAATTTGCTAGCATTTTGTTAAAAATTTTTGCATCTACATTCATCAGGGATATTGGTCTTTCCTTGATATCTGGTTTTGGTATGATGGTGTTACTGACTTCATAGAATGCATCTGGGAGTGTTCAATCCCTTTTTATTTCATGGAATAATTCAACAAGCATTGACATTAGTTCCTCTTTAAATGCCTGATAGAAGTCAGGTGAGAATCCATCTGGTCCTGGGCTTTCCTTTGTTGAAAAGCTTTTTATTACTACTTATATTTTCATTGCTAGTTATTAGTCTATTTAGGTTTTCTATGTCTTCTTGATTCAATTTTGGCCGACATATGTGTCTAAAAACAAAGCCATTTATTCTAGATTTTCCAATTTACTAGAGTATGAGTTTTCAAATTAGTCCCTAATTATCCTATGGATTTCTTTGATGTCTGGTTATTTCTCCATTTTTCACCTCTAATTTTATTAATTTGTATTTGGCTGAGAGTTTATCAATCTTGTTTATCTTTTCAAAGATGCAACTCTTCATTCCATTTATCCTATATATTTTTTTATTTTAAATTCCATTGACTTTGGCTTTGATCTTAATTATTTCCTTTCTTCTACTGGTTTTGGAATTGGTTTGTTCTTGCTTTTCAGGTGCCTAGAGATATATTCTTGGTTGTTTTTTGGAGGTCTGATTTTCTTATGCAGGCACTTGTAACTACAAACTTTCCTCTTAGATCTACCTTCTAGTGTTTCCCAGAGGTTCTGGTATGACATGTCACTATTATCATTTGGTTCTAAGATTTTTTAAAATTTCTCCATGTTTTTCTTCTATCATCCATTCATCATTCAAAATGTATTATTTAATCTCCATGGGTTTATATAGTTTCTTTAGGTTTATTAGTGTCAATATGTAAGTTTATTTTATTATGATTAGATAAGGTGGAAAGGATTATGTTAAATTTTTGTATTTTCTAAGATTCCCATTGTGACCCAAAATATGGTCTATTTTTGATAAGGTTTCATGAGTAAATTGATCAGCTGTTGTTGGATCAAATTCTATAGATGTCTGTTAAGTCCATCTGATTTCTAATAATTTTTAGGTCCAAAGAGTATTTCCTGAGTTTATGTCTGGGTGGCCTATCTATTGGTGAAGGGAATATGTTGAAATCACCCAATATTATTGTACTGGAGTTTATCTGAGACTTTAATTCAAGCATTGTCTCTTTTATGTAACTATGTTCAACAACATTTGGGGCATACATATTTACTTACGTTATGTCTTCTTCTTGGACTGTTCCCTTTACCAGTATGAAGTGAACTTATTTGTCTCTTATTAATTTTGGCTTTCAGACTTTGTTGAATATGAGAGTACTCCTGCTTGTTTTAGGGCTCCATTTGCAGGGTATATCCATTTCCATTCTTTCACTGTCAGCCTGTGGCTCTTTCCCTGTAAGGTGAGTCTCTTTCAAACAACATATAGTTAGATCTTGTGTTTTAACCCATTCTGTCAGTCTATGTCTTTTAATTGGAGAGTTGAGACCACTTATATTCAATGTTATTACAAACAGATTTTTATTAATTCCTGCCATTTATATTTATTTCTAATGTTTAATATGGTCCTGTTCCTCATTTGTTTAGCTACTCTTTAAATAATATTTGTCCATTTGTGTGCTTTGGGGTTCATTTTTGATGTCTTCTTTGCCGAGTACTTATTTTCTGTGGTGTCAGCTTAGTAGTCATGAATTAATTTGTTTTCTGCTTATCGCAGAAGACTTTTATTTCTTATTTGATTCTGAAGGACAGCTTTGCTGGATATAGCAATCTTGGTTGACAGTTATTTTCTTTCACAGCTTGGAACATATCATTCTAAGCCCTCCTGAATTTTAGATTTTGTGCTGAGAAATCAGAAGTAACTGACTGGTTTGCCTCTAAATGTGACCCAAGGTTTTTCTCTTGAGCTTTCAATATTCTATCGTTGTTCTGTATGTTGGGCATTTTAATTATAATGTGTTCTTTTTTTGAGGTTCCTGTCTTTTGGAGTTCTGAATGAACCCTGTATCTGGATGTCCATTTGATTTTCAAGGTTTAGAAAAATTGTGTATTATTATTGCCCTAAAAAGGGTCATGCTATTAGGACATATTACATAGTCTTCTTCAATCCCAGTGGTTCTTAACCATGGTCTCTTAATGTTGTCCCAGAGTTCTTATATTCTCTGGCCATGGTTACTTCTTTTCTTTTCTTCATATTGTCTGAATGTTCAAGGCCAACCACTTTGTCTTCCAGTTCTGAGATGTTGTCTTCAGTATGCCTACTCTATTAAATAAAGACTCTCAACTATTTATTTATTTATATCTCTATCTTCTTATTGAATTTCTTATTCATATCCTGAACTGGCCTCCTTAATTTATTTAGCTATTTTTCGGTGTTCTCTTGGAACTTATTGATCATTTTTATAATCATTCTTCTGAATTCTTTATCTGATATTTCATCCACTTTAATATCTTCAGAGTTGTTGCTGGTGAATTACAAATTTTAGGAGGCATCATGTTACCTTTTTTCCCCCATATTTTTTGTATTCCTGTGATTTCCCCTCCAAAAAAAAAAAAAAAAAAAAAAAAACTATCAGCAAAATTCAGCTTTTTATTGTACATGTTATAAGAGTTTAGTCAAAAAGACCAAATCCCATGTAATCATTGGGCTCCTCAGATTCTTCCTTCTTTGCTTGCATTTTCTTCTCCTCAGCTGAGGAAGCTGTGGTGATGGGGACAGGACCTCCTGCTGTTGCCACACCAGCTGTTGGAGCAGGCCCACCAGCACCTGTGTTGCAAATGAGGCTCCCAGTGTTAACATTGTCCAAGGCCTTTGCAAAAAAATCAAGCCAAAAAGTTCATCATTTACACCAGGTTTTAAAATGAGGGCATTGATTTTATCCTCCATGATGGTCACCTTGTTGTCATGCTGGATGAGGACAGAGTATAAACAGGACAGGCCAGATACAGAGGCCAGGTCATGGACTGCTTTACTGGATGAAGTGAGGGCCTCACCCCAAAATGGCCTTAGCTTCCTCAGAAGGACCATGTACTTTGGTGGCAGCAGAGGAAGGAAGACTCTGTTGGGCTTTATGATCTGTTGGGATGGATTTCTCATCCACTCTTATATGTAGGACTTTTTAGGGGACTGACTTCTCTTGCCAAAGTGACCTGGAATGACCTAGATTGAGACTGTCCTCAGAGGTATGATGTTCACAGACTTTGTGCTAATTCTCTGTTGAATTTTGCTGTTGAAGTGAATGTCCATGAATGGGATCTGAGAGACCCCCTAATCATTCCTACTTGGGCCTGGTCTTTTTCTTTTTCTTTTTTTTTGAGGTGGGGTATTAGGGATTTAACAGAGGGGTGCTTCACCACTGAGCTATATCCCCAGCCCTTTTTAAAATTTTTAATTCTGAGGCACGATGTCACTAAATTGCTTAGGACCTCACCAATTTGCTGAGACTGGCTCAAACTTGCAATCCTCCTGCCACAGCTTCCCAAGTCATGGGATTACAGGCATGCACCACTGTACCTGGCTTAATTTGAGGGATTTCATCTCTTCTGTTCTTTGTATTAAAGAATCACTGAAGTTTGAGTGTGATTAATCTGTGTGAATCAAGATAAGTATTCTCTTGGCTGGATTTAGGTCAGCAGCAGAGTCTCTACCCTGTGAACTTGTGTTCCTGTAGACTCTGAGCACCGCTCAGTAAAGGGGAAACACAATAATAACAACTGGAGCAAACAATACGCAGCATTAAAATAAATATCCAGTGCCTCCTACGATATCTACAACACTAGTTACCACAAAAACAGGAAAAGCGAGGTCAACAATTGCCAATAGAAACGAAAACCATGAGTTAAAGTAAACAGTAGGTGTCAACTGTGCCATCCACAGTACTAATAAGTACTAATAAGTGCAACAACATGAATGATGGGGGCAGGAGCTATGAAAAGCAAATCTAAAAGATGGTGAAAATACAGTTCATTAAGAGAAAGGAAAATGTGATTAAAAGAAAGTTTAGAATGTTTACAATGTGAACCAGAAAAAATGCAGAACAGATATAGCAAGTGATGATTATAAAGAAGGAGGAGGAGAAAAAATAGAAAAGACAAAGTAAATGGGGGGAGAGAGCGAGAGCAAGAGAGTTTGACTGTCAACAGGAGAAGAAAGGATAAATTGAGAGAAACAAGAGAAAATAAACTAAAATCCCAACCCTCAAAAGACAAGGAAAAATAATCATTGTAAAAATTGCCAAAAATGAAAAAAGAGACAAATATGTATATATGTATATATATGTGTGTGTGTATATTTATATATCAACAACACAATATGAACAAAAAAAGATTCTTCATGAAATAATTTTATCTAGTGAGATGGTCAAAACCAGGGTTAAGGATGAATGGTCACTGCCTTCTTTCCATTTCTTCTTGGGTTAGAGAGAGAGAGAGAGAGAGAGAGAGAGAGAGAACGCAAGAGAGCATGCTGGAGCTTGTTGACCTCTTCCTCTTCTTGTGTTGCTTACCAAGGTACCAGTTGGAGTGGCCAAAACAAACTGGTTGAAATAGCTCAGATTTTCTTCTTACCTGTATAAGGTAGGATGAAATGGAAAATACTATCAATTGGAGTTTTGTCCCCAAAGACCAGACTGAGGTACTCCCAGGGTGGGGCTACTACAGAGTTCCAAAAGGGAAGTTCCAGAGTAGCTGTGGCTTAGACCTTATCAGCCTCTAAGGAATTTGTTGGGTGGTATCTGCTCTGAATAGATTAGATCAACACACCCCGTAGGGTCCAGATAGATGTTGACCTGTGCTAGGAGTCTCTATCTCAGGAGGCTCCCAAGAATTCTACTCATGGGGGAAGGGAACCACCCCTCCATAGGTCTCATACACTCTGCTGTCCAAGAATGTGGCCTTCTCAAGAATAGTCCCCAAGTGCATTCACACCTGCCTATTCAGTTTCCTAATCCTCTTCAGCTGGCCAGGTGGACGGCCAGACTCAAAGAAGTTGCACACCCCTCCATAGTTCTGACTTGAACCCCCACTGGGTACAATCTTCTCTGTGCCTGTTTCACTCACATTCTGCTAGGCACATCCTAGGCCACACAACAGGCACTTTCGGGGACGGGATGGCTATGTTTGCTATAATCTTCCGGCTCCCACAGCAGCAAGCTCCTCAAGATGGCCTATGCCCCCGCTCTCTGCCTGCCAATTGAGAAATAGCATTTTTCAAACACTAGCTTACTGTGCAGTTTCTGGATCAACTAAGTTCAGGTTGCTTTTCTAATCTATAGGTTTTTCTGTGCCAGATTTATCCATTGTGTTTCTCTCTGTTGATATTATCCCTCCCCTCTGCCGTGAACCAGTGCCACTCCCACTGCCACAATCCACTTAGCTCCAATGTGTTCTTTCTTGTTCTTTGTTCAATGAACCCAACTTTCTGACTCTCTAAGAGATTCTGAGTATCTGATATTGAATATAAGTGAATTCCCTCTTTTACCAACCTCACTGAGAAGCAGTACTCTGGCAGCTTGGATCCAATTCATGGAGCAACTAGAAACCCAGGCTTCCTCTATTCTAACATCTTCCCAAATCATCCATTTCAACTCAATTTTTGCACATGGTGCAAGAAAAGTATCCAATTTCATTCTTTTACATAGCTTTCCCACCATGGTTTATTGAAGATATCCTTTTGCTATTGATATTCCCGGTGGGTGCACTTGTCAAAGTTTAGTTGGTTGTGTATGAATGGGTTTATTTCTGGGCTCCTAACTGATTCTGTTCCATTAGTCTATATGTCTTTCAATTACTATAATTTGAAATTTAAAAAAAGTAAGAGTGTATAATGCTTTCAGTTTTGTTCTTGCTCAAGATGGGCTTGGCAAGAATCACTGTGGGAACTATAGAAATATTAGCAACATAATTCTCCCAATCCATGGACACAGAATATCTTTCAATTACTTGTGTCTTCTTCCATCTCATTAATCAAAACTTTGCAAAATATATAGTGTTTAGTGTATAACTCTTTCACCTCCTTGGTTAAATTCATTCTAAGTCTTTTATTATTTTTTTGATGCTATTGTAAACTGGATTGTTTTCTTAATTTCTTGTTCAGAAATTAATTCATTAATAATTATTGATCTGTTCAAATTTTCTATTTCTTTATGATTTAATCTTGTTTATTACAACTTGTTTCTTATAATTTCTCCATTTTGTCTAGGTTATTCAACTTGGTGTTTAATCATACATAGGAGTCTTTTATGATCCTTTGTATTTCTATGGTATCAGTTATAACAACTTCTTGTTCACTTATAATTTATTTAAGTCCTCTCCCTCTCTCTTATTATTGTGTAGTCTAACTAAAGTGTTGTTAATTTCATTCAAAAAACCAACTCAGTTTCATTGATGTTTTCTAGTTTCTTTGTAGACTTTATTATTCTTACTCTAAGATTTATTATTTCCTTTCTTTTGCTAACTTCTGACTTACTTTGTTCTTCTTTTCCAGTTCCTTAAGGTTTAAACTTAGGTTTGTTTAAGATATTTTTTTTATTCATGTAGGTGTTTACTGCTATAAACTTTGTCTATAAGAACTGCTTTTGCCAAATCCTGAGAGTAAGTTCTGGTATGCTATATTTTGTGAGAAACATGCTCACCTGTCCAAACCCAAAGAATGGACTTAGAGACATGAAGTATAGCAAAAGTGGAGCTCTTTATTGATGGTCTTGCAAGACTGGGTGTTTGGGTGAAAGGACACCCAGAGCTGTTATAATCAGCATTTTATTCCCTAGTATGCACAGCCCTTCCCTTGGTTCCTCATTGACTGAGTACCATGGGGGTATATTGCCTAGGTTTTACTATGTCCTATTGGCTTATTTAAAGAAATATACCTTCAGTTGCTCCCACCTCCCTTGTGCTGGGAAGGCCTTCTTGGGTTGAGTGCATTTGGGCATACACTGCATTTTATCCTTATTGATAAAGTTGGTTCCTTCCCTCTTCCCTTCTATTCTCAAGGGGCTGTGAATTTTTCACATTCTGGTGTTACCTGCTTGTAACTTTCCACTCTGTTCTCCCCTTCTGCTGCTTTTCTTGAGTGTCAAGTAATTTTACATTTAAGGCAACATACTATACATTGAAAATGGACCAACAGACTTTCTGTTTTTCACATGTTTCTATTTTTGATTTATCTCAAAATACATTTTTTTTGGGGGGGGGAGCGGAGTACTAGGGATTGAACTAAGCTGCAATCCCAGCCCTCAAGATACATTTTATTTTGCCTTTCTACGTCTTCTTCTTTGGCCCATTTGTTGTTCAGAATTGTGTTCCTTAACTTCCACGTATTTGTGAATTTTCTAATTTTCCTCCTGTTTTCAATTCCTAGTTTCATACCATTGTGTTTGGAAAAGATACTTGATAGATTTCAATCTCTTTAAGTTTGTGAAGACTTCTTTTGTGGCCCAGTATATGATCTAGCCTGGAAAATATTCTGTGTGCACTTGGAAAGAGTGTCTATTCTACTACGATTGGATGGAATGTTCTGTATATGTCTAAAAGGTTCATTTGGTCTATAGTGTTATTCAAGTTCACTATTTCTTTGATGAGTTTCTGTCTGGATGACTTAGCCATTGTTGAAAGTGGGGCATGAAAGTATTCTACCATTATTGTATTCTCATCTCTACTCTCTTCAGTTTTGTTAACCTTTGCTCATGTGCTTAGGTGATCTGATGTTGGTGCATCATATTTACAACTGTTATATCCTCTGGATGAATTAACCCCTTTGTCATTATAGACTAACCTTCTTTGTCTATCATGATAAATTTTGAACAAAGGACAATTTTGTCTGAACTAAGTATCGCCATTCATGCTCTCTTTCAGTTAACATTTGCATGGAATATTTTCTTCTCTTTAGTCTTTGTCCTTAAGACTGTAATAAGTCTCATATGGGCAGCATATTATTGGATCTTGTTTTTAAATACATTCATCCACTCTATGTCTTTTGTTTGGAAAATATAGCCCATTTTCATTTAAAGTAAGTATTAATTAATACATAGT